TCTGGTTTCCTTATCAGCAGCTCTGTCATCCCAGGCCCGAAGCTGGTACCACCACAATTTTTGCTAGGTATTGCTTCTGCCTCAACAGGGATTGAATTCAACGCTTACGGGAGTGCAGACCTAATCCTGCTCTCTCAACCATTCCACTATCCCTGCCTCGACTATTCAGCATAGTACCGCACTAAAAGGCCAAATATAATGTCGTTTGTATTCCGATCCCTTGAATGGTTAACCATTTGTCAACCACGCAAGAGATCGGAATGCAAACGACATTGTATTTGGTCTTTCCGATCAAGAGCAATTATCATCAGCAAAACCTATCAAACTTATCGTAGCGGTAGTGTCTGACCGGTGTGAACTTTATACTTTACATCAATCTTTGTTGGAGATTGATTACGGTTGATATGACCGCGAGTTTCCGGTGTCACCATCGATTAGAATCAGAACAAAGAAATGCAGTAGTTGTGTTATCGCAGGAATACTAAATTGTGGGTAGAACAGCCTCGGATAGACAAAAACTCCCACTTTTGGTACACGAGATTTGACTCAAGTTGAAAGTCCCTTTCATATAAAACACTCAATCATTCTTTACATACCGCATCTTATTAAGAAAAACTAGGAGATGCAGTTCAGGTCCTTGCTAGTCGTCCTCAACCTCCTTCTGTATTTTTCATTGACTCAAGATTTCCTTCGTTTCTGTCGTGTGTAGGTGAGGCACTAGCAGAGTATATCATCGAGTTGTTTGAAATTGCAGTAAATCTCCCAAGGGTCAGGTGGGTTTGGCTCAGCCCAAGCCCCGTTTCCTCCAGCTGTTCAAGCGGACAACCGACAACAGTTGGTGGAAAACGAGCTGGTGCTGAGCCATAAGGCCACCCCCCCCCCTGATACATAGAGGAAACGCAGGCGGTGTCATTTATGAATATATAATGCGTAGAAAATCTTTTCAAAAAGTTTCTTCCAACGCCAGCTGCGATCTCCCTACCCAGCGACAAAATACCTCCTCCAGTGGAATTCTACCAACAATGATCTTCACTGACTATCGGAGCAGACTGAGGGCGGAAAATACGTTGCACACGTACTGGGAACATACTTCTGGCCCGAACATGCTTTTGAATGTCTCCTCATATGTACTTTGCCTTTGCACTCCTGATGAGGTCTCGCTTAAGAAAAACATCAGGCGGCGTCGAATTCTCGGATACCTGAAGCTGGACAGTATTTGGCTTGCTAAGAAGAGTTTGTGTTCTGTGAGACACTAGCCCCAGACCTGCAGTAATGCTTCTCAAAGAAATCACGTGAATTCGGGAGATTCTCAGTCACGGGTTTTTCCTCTACTCCAGGGCCTAATGTCTGCATAGAACCGGTTTGACATTACTGAATAAAGAATATTCAAATTTGTGTATAGTTTCTGAAGGATTCTCAGATAATCAACCCTATCCTGGCAACAGAAAACCATTTTTATGCAGAATTTCTAGACAAGAAGTTTTTTTGGCCCTTACAAAAACGTGCGCATGGTGTTAAACTGTTGGCGTCGCTGTAAAAGTGCAATAAATCTTTCGTCGATCAAGGTTTTTTGTCGGTATCGCCGGGTTGCGAGAGATATTCCAAAAATAGCGCGTAGGACGTTTTTGCCTGATCCATAAGAACTCTGAGAGACTCGTCTGTTCTGCTAGAGAGAAAAATAGCCTATCATTTCACAAATGGGGGGTCGTGATCGTTCCCTAAGGTGGAAGGCTCAGCTATTCTGGGAGGTTTTGTGTTTGTATCAAGACGCTCCTTTGCCGCTGCGCTACATCAACTGCGGGCAGGGATCCTTGTTGCGACAACTAAGTTGCTAGTAGCGGTGCGACAGTGTGTGCGTCATAGGAAACTGTGCCTGAAGGAAAGCAGTAGCTAAAGAGGTGCTTCCATCTGGTTCATGTTGAGATTTCTTAGAAAACAGCACGGGGAGAGGTATCAAAATTCCGACCCGGGGGAGGTTGCCATGAGTCTCTTGCTTATAATCTTCTACGAAGAAGACAGGTATGATGGACAGCTTCGCATGAGCTACAGCGCAAGAGATCCACGATGAGGCGATGCGAGGAAAGTGACGCTTTTGATGGCGTCGCATGCGCGGCATTCGCTCCAGGACCTAAGTGATTAGCAAGTGTCACGAAATGCCTGATCAACTAGCAGGCAAAAAACTGCGTACCGAAATTCCTCAAATTTTCTGGGATAAAGCTCTGGAGTAAACGGTACAGGACGTGGCCCGTCGTAGCCCAAATGATTTGACGCCGTCGGGTCAACTAGCCAAAAATACTAGACGGTTTGCAAGTAATGCGGCGGTCTCGATTTCCGGAAATATGATGATCACTTTAGGATGAGAAAACATTTTCATGCGAATCGCACGTGAATGTGACCTTGTTCTGTTAGGATTGAAATACTTAGCCACTCCCATTACTCCCCATTCGCAACTAAGAAACATTCCAATGAACATTAATCGCATGGGGTCAGCACCTTTCGGTTCCGCTATAAATAGGGAAAGAATAGACAATCAAGTGAAACCGGTTTCGAGACGTGTTATAGAGGAGGGTTTGCCATAAGGGATAATTATAAGTGAAACCACAGCTGTGAATTTGTGGTCCTATCTTATGGTGGTAGATCCGAGGAAATCTCAGTTAGAGAGAGAGAGTAGGAGTGGGTGGAGGTTCGCGTTCGGAAATCGGAAACCGAATAGAGTTGTTCTCAGCGTACGCAACCATCCAGCATCCACCACGGAGCGCAGTCATAAATTCGGAAACCTAAGAGAACGGACCTAAGAGATCACTATTTCCTAGGTAGTCGTCGCCCACATTCCACGATCTTTTGCTAAATTCCTCGTCCAGCTAGTTGCATGGGCGGAAGCCAGAGCTACCATTGTGTGTGCCCCACTGGTGCCATCCGTCAAAGATTAGAAGGAAGGCAAAGGGAAGGTCTAAGAGCAGGCCTGACCCCCCCCTCCATGACCAGTATTTTGGGTTCACTCCAGAAATGAAGGGTCAGATCAATTAATATTGAAATGCATGAACGAGGAGTTATTATTGAAAAGGCACTCAGGTGTTCAAAAAGTTTTAATCAATAATTGATTGACTTCATTTCAGGTTCCGGTATTCCTGAGTTGAAAGTTATAATGCACGGGTTCGTCTTGAAAAACTACCTTTCACTAAAAACGCTGACGGCAAAAATCATCGGTCTGACGCTGACCCTTGGTTCTGGAATGCCAGTCGGAAAAGAAGTGAGTGCCATAATTGGAATAATCTCATCGGGTGTGAGGCGTCACATCCACATACCGGTGACATTTGCATCAAGCCCTGACTGATTTGTCTCGAAGGTTTGCAGCACGCGAAGCCAACTAGCTGCGCAGTACTAGCTAGGTGGTATGCGTCACCGCATCGTAGATGTAATGTCTCATACAGTCGTTTTTTGGTGCAGACGCAGGGACGTGTCTAGTAGAGCAATTTTGGTATAGCTCCTGCTCAGTGTCTGCAGGGAAAAAGACTGACTACAACAGTTTTACCTTGACTTTTTAGCTCCTTTAGATTCCATGCCGTTCTACGCCGCTCTTGCGTGGGTTTACCCACAAAGTCCACTGCCTTTAAAGGCAGTGCCCGCGTTCATTTGATGTTATTACTCCCACCTTAGATATCGTAGCTTTGTCGAGAAGGGTGGAGAGCGACTGTATCTAATTCGCAGCGCTTAAAAATACGGAGGATGGCCTCTACAGCTTGTGAAGAGCGATGCTGCGCCGCTCAGCGTGAACTACCAACTGCTTCTGCGCCTTAGCGAGCCTGCTTTCAAGTAAGAATGAGTCTATGGAGCCTCATTAAATACTGTGATCCCAATAGTGTAAGGTAAAGAAACAGAAAAAATCATGGAAAACGCCCCTTAGTACAGGACCTATGCTGGCCAGAGTGGGCGGGCGCCGGTCGACTCTTTTCTGAAATAGGCAGCTATTCCTTTCGCGCTTTTTGAGTTGCAAGACTTATATCTATATTGCGATTCGCTCATGTAGGATATGCGCTCTTGTGATATTTCCAAGGATAGGGTCTGCGAACATCAATATGACGTGGGCGCTGCCTTTAAACCATAATGAAAAATTTAGATAATGTGAGTAATTTACGTGGATTGTTGTAAGAGATTTATCCAAAGCCCTCGTAAGGTCTTTTAACTCAAACAGAAAGATTGTTGAACTTGATTGTCTTGAACTTACATTATCTCTCGGAACTACTCACTTCTCGAAAGTTTTTCTATTTTAGCTCAAAGGCATTTGTGTTGAAAACTCGCAAGAACGGGACATCAGATTTGGGGGGGGGGGTAAAAAGGGAAGGCAAGACTGTTGTGTAGTCTTTTTCACTGCAGACGATCTGGCGTTCCAGAGGACCAAGTTTGGCGCGGCGTGAGCCCATTTTTCACATTTCTTGTCGCTTTTCCGCTTCATCAATTGTTGGATCTCATCAGATGCCTCAAGGTAGATTCTGTCATTTAGGGACCGTTCGTACACATGGGTGCCATAGTGGCATCGCTTCTCAACAAAGCCACTTCTGCTTGCCAGTATAACGCGTTCTTCTCGAATGAAGGTCGACAGATGGAAATGCTCAGTAGTGGTTGTGCTGTTGGAATTGCTTGCACGTTCTCGGCACCTGCAGGAGGTCAGTGTGAACGAATTGAGCTGAACTGGGAGCGGAGTCTCTCTATCGCGCTGAGCTGATGTTCGCTGAGTTTAGATAATCTTCACTGGCCCATGGGGTTACGGGATCAACACTCACCACTGATACTGATTTGCTGGAATCGTTTCTGGGGACTTTCCTACTGATCATTTTGGCAAACGTTCAACTCTTTTACATACAATCTGGCCTTCTGCCTGAACAAAATGACTTTAGCCAATTCAAACTCCCTCTATTCATTAGAGGCTCACGGTTAGGATCCA